GAGAACCCTGGGGAGACCCCTGCTGCAGTGGACAGAGTCCCGGCTCTCACTATGGCTTTGGGCAAACCCCATATCCCTTCTGGGCCTGTTTTCCCAGCTGCAAAATGAAGTTTTTCTCTGAACCGTGGGATGCCACAGGAGGTGCACTAGGTAGCCCAATGCCTGGGAACCATCCCCAGTGAAGTTGTAATAGTTCTAGTTATGTTTTTGCAGCTCAGGATCCTGTAGAATATTTAATTTTAGAAAACGGTTCTACTGCTAAAAATTTGAGAACACTGGGCAAGATTCTCTGAAGCTGTATGAAATGCTGACATTGTTGCAACAGTAATTTGTTTTTCCCACCTCTAATACAGGGTCAGTGGTCTAGATTCAGGCTGGGAGAAGGGACCTGGGGAAAAGAGGGCAGGAAGGAAGGGTGCAGTAGGAGGGAAGGTGCTCTGGCCTCTCCTTGTACCCCACTGTGCTACCTCAGCCTCGTACCTGCTTCCTCCCTTAGCTCCCAGTGCTCTGAGGACACCGTGGTCCTGTGCACACAGCACCTTGTGCCCAGCAAGAGGGACTTATGAATGAGGCTAACTGCCCCCGCCTTGCCCGCCCCACCACCTACAGTGTCGCAGCTCCTTCTTGAAGGCCTTGTGGTCCCCCAGCTCATCCAGGAAGGTCTGGCTGACTTTGCGGAGGTTCTCGGAACTCTTCTTGGTCAGGAACCAGCCGAAGTAGAGTGGCAGGAAGTCCTTTTCCAGCCCAGGCTTCAGCTTCTTCAGCTCGTCGACCGACAGCTGCCAATGGCTCTTCTCCTTGAGCTGGGCACAGTCCAGCCGCCATGCTGTCTTGGGCTCCACCAGCACCACCTGGTACTGGTACTGGTCAGCTATGTCAAAGAGCTGCTCCAGCCGCTCCCGCTCTTGGTTGGTGTCATCCAGCACAAGGACTCGGATGTCCCGGCGGCAGCAGTCAGCCAGTTCCTTGTCCAGCCGCTTGTACTCCTCAGAGAAGTCTCCTCGAGCAGGGATAATCTTGAAAGCGTCGGCAGACACCATCTTGGCGCTGTCACGGTACCTGTCCGTGATGATCTGTGCCAGAGTGGACTTGCCACTCCCTGGCAGGCCTCGCAGGATGAAGAGCGTCTTGCACTCTTGCAATGTGCCCACTGTCTCCTCATCCTGCAGGAAGGGAAACTGCAGCTCAGGCTTGTCCTTGGCCCCTGCGGATGACATCTTGCGGAAGAAGATCTTGGGCAGGAATGTGTGGCTCTTTCGAGAGAAGCCTCTATTCTGTGTGAGGAGGGGGAAGAGTAGATGTCAGCCAGGTCACTTGTGGCCACCTTGCCCCCCTGCTTCTGGCCTCCTCCTTACCAGGAACCCCTGCCTGGAGCTCTCCAGCCCTGATTTATAGGCACCCTGGGTATCGTGGGTGCCTTCCAAGCTGTGGAATGGTGGACTTTCTCTCCTTCTCGGTCCTTCCGTACCGACTGCTGCTGGTTGTGGAGGATGGAGAGCGAGCAGTCTTGTCTGAGCTTTCTAAACTCACGTTTCTCTACTTAGAGCTGTAGAACCAAGGATCACTCACTGCTGCCGCCTCTAAAGGAAAACGTGCTGGAAGTGCATGCAGGGAGGGCCTGAAGGCTGTGGTTCTAGAGCGGACCTCCTAGCTTTTATATTCTGGGCATCTGTTAAGAATGACCTCTTTGAAGGTAGGGTTCTTATGTCTGGGTAAAGCCACAGCTGCCCTGGTTCTGAGAGGGGAGGGTGGAGAAGGGTTACCCAAAGACTTCCTCCCTTCCCCCAACAATGGCAGCAACAGATAATACTCTCTTGTCTGGGATGGGGGGACAATGGTCCCACAGAAGGGCTGGTGGGGGGCAGGGAAGGCGAGAACTGGACAAAGGGCCTCATTCACCACGCATGCCACCTCCTCCTCTGCCCTCGGCCCCCCACAAAGTACTGGTCTTTGTGCCTGCCCCAGGACTGGGCGGTACTGGGCACCTGAGTTCAGGGTCTAGCTCTACCCACCACTTTGCTGTGTGTCGGCAGCACCTCTCTGAGTGACTTGTTTTCCTGCCTGCTAAAACCAACGAATTTTTACTGTAAACATTCTTCTCTTCTACACCAGCTCCGCCTCCCATCAGCACCCTGAGAGCTAAGCTGGCATACTGTTCTCAAGCAAGGCCCTAGGGCAGGAAAAGGCGAGGACCGCACGCCCAGCTCGGGCCCCATCGGCGCGGGCACCAGCCCGGGCCCCACAAGCCATCTGGTCTGCAGCTCCAGAGTCTCCTCCCCCCGCCTCTCCAGCCCCGATGTCTCCCCTACCTCAGGGCTGCAGCGGACTGCCAAGAAAGCCTCAACTCAACTCCGGAAGCTCGGGGCCTCGTTTGCATGCCACTTCCTCCCGAAAATGCCCCAGTGCTCCGGTTTACCCAGTGCTCGGCCCGCTCCCTCGCCTCCCGGCCTTCCCGCGCCTGCTCACCATGATGGGGAGGGGGCGCCGCCGTCGCCGCCTTCGCAGGCACTGGCTCTCCGGGGCCGCCCGCCTGCGCGGAGGGACACGGAGTCTAGTGATGACGCGACCCCTCGCTGGGCTGCCTTACATAGCCCGGGGGGCGGGGGGATCACGCTAGTGCTCGCGTGGGCCAGAGACGGGGCGGGACGGGGCTGGCCGGGGCGCGCCCGCTCTGCGCAGGCGCGGCAAATCGAAAAGCGAAACTGACCTGGCGCTAAGGGGAAACGGCCACGCTCTTGGCCGCCTGTGCGAGGGCACACCTGCGGCGCACCGGTTCCGGGAAGAGCCGGCACCGGCGGGGGTTTTGGGAGGGAGCTTGGCTGGCCCCTTTTTTCATGTAGGAAAACAGTCACCCTTCCCGGGTTCTGCACCGGAATTAGGATGAGGCAAAGGAGGCAAGGTCGTGCAAGTGCAAGTCGGATCTTTATTTAAATTTTTAATATTTCATTCATCATGGGTTTTTGCATTAACGTTTCTGTTACAAGATAAAACACTGTTTATCTTGCTTACTGAGTTTTTTGGAGACCTGTGAAATGCTGCGACTGAAATGCCCCACTTGCCTCACCCTAGTCCAGGCCCTGTCCCAGCCCAAATTCAGCCTCAGCCCAGCCCTGCCGGGAATTGTGGGAACAGAACCAATGGCCGAAGAGACAGATGAAGAACGGTAGTGAAATCCTAACTCATCCTCTGAGGCAGCTAGCTGCACAGCCGTCACTTCCTCTGAAGCCACTGGAAGCTCCATGGTTTTTGGAGAGCTTCCTGTGTACCAAGTGCTGTGCTTAAGACTCATACAGTCCTCCCAGAAACCCCTGGGGCAGGTACCCCACTCTACCAGGAGGAAACAACCTTGGGCGCCTGATGGACTTGATTGTACCCGCAGAGGTGGCGCAGGTGAACTAGCTGCATCTCCTAAACCCAGGCTACTCCCCGTTCTTGGGAGGAACCTTCTTCTTCTGGGCTCCTAGAGCACGGTACCCATCAGTGCCAGCACTCATTTCATTCTGCTTTCAGGGCTTAGAGGTTTACAAGCAGGTCTCCCTCACTGAGGGCTGAGGCTGTCCCATCATGATTTCTTCCATAGAGCCTCCCAGGGTGCCGGCACACAGCAGGTACTCAGCAAGATGAACCAATGGCCAGCAACTGGGCAGACATACCTCTACTCCTTTCTCTTTCCTCCCCTTTAAGCTGTCCTGGTTCCTTGGACCTCATCTGTTTCTTCACCCTCCTGAAACCCTGTCGGAGTACCTTTCTCATTCTTCCCTGAGGTTTTTGGACAGGCCCTGTGGAAGAGCTCCACGCTTCACCCCTTGATCACACACACTCTGGGTTGGGCCTTGTTGGAGGGTTTCTGTGTTTCTCACAGTTCTGCTTGGGACGTGCCAGGTCATTCATTCTCTAAGGCTCTTTCAAGAATGGGTGGGGCTGAGGAGGCAAAATGACAGACCAGGGTTTGTAAGAGTGAACGATGTATATTTAAAGGGAAAACAGTAACAGAAGGAGGCAAAGGTGACCACCTATGGGAGCCCAGTCCACATTTTTCCCTCAACTTGAAAGTCTAGTTTAGTAAGATCCCCATGGGCCCTGCAAACACCAGCCTCCTAATCCTAATGCCTACTAACGATGGCTTCATTCATCTTCCTTTTCACCTTTTTCCATTTTTCCAGCATTTTCTGTTTTCATTTCTCCTATTTCTCCTGATTCTATTTCCTCCAGTTCTTCCGACTCTCTTCTGCTGGCTTCTGAAAGCCTCTCCCTTAGTTCTTTCGATTGCCTTCCGATTAAATCCTCTGAGAATTTTTGGTCCAGATCGGACGGTTTCCTGTAAATTTCCCTGGATTCCCTTCTGCTCACTTCTGATAGTTTCCTGCCTGCTTCTCCCAATCTTTTTATGGCTAGTTCTCTGGACAGTCTCTTGGCAATGTCTCCTGAATCTCTCCCCGTGGCTTCCAGCTCTCTTAAAGAGCTGCCTTTTTTTCTCTGCCTCTTTTCTTCTTCTTCACTCCCTGTGGTTGTGAAAGCTTCGTTAGACAGATCATCCTCTGTATCTTTCTCATTGTCAGTTTGCCTTCTCTCCCACTGCTTTATCATCTTCTCAGGTCTGCCTCTCTCTCTCCTCACTGTTTCCTTCTCCCTTGTCATCGCAGATGTATTATCCAATTCAGCAGCCTCTTCTGAAAAACACAAGAAAGGAGCAAAGAAAGATAAAAGTTGGTCCATCCCTGGGCCTGGGTGAACCCCGACTTGTGGGGGCCTGCGCTTCTAAGAGAAGCACCCCTTTCCAAAAGGAGAGAAAGGGAATCTTCCATTACTGAACGTCAGCCCTGTGCCAGGCATCGTGTGAGCTGCACACATTATATCATTCGGTTGTCATCAAAGTGCATAGTGTCATTGATTTGAGTTTGCAGTCAAGGGACCCAAGATTGATACAGAGAAATCGCACACCGTGGTCACACTGCAAATAAATAAATGCAGAGCCAGAGTTTGAACCCAGGATATTCTGCCCCCAGGGCACATTCTCTTTTCCTACGAGACACAGCGTGGGTGCTGGGAAAGGACAGAAAGGGGTCTCTTCTCCAGCAGCTTCATTCTGCGTTTCTCTTTGTCCCTGGGGAGCACATTCATCATTTGTTGGGAGGTTCCCTGTAGAAATATGAGCAGACGGCTAGCAGCAAATTCAGCTGGAGAGCTATTTGCAACCAGAGGGACACTTGCTCCATGTTTTTACCAGCTACAGAGGAAAGGCACCAATCCCCTCCTGAGTCGCTCCCACATTCTCTTCCTGGAAGCCTCTGGTCTCTGTGGTGCCTACAGAGTATCTGGGTTCACAGCTGGGAAAAAGGCTCCACTTGGTGGTGAAAACATATGCAATGCTGCCACCTGCTGTTCTGGGAAGGAAGTGCCTGGCAGCTGCCACTGGCTTCCCAGTTTTCCGGGAGAACACCTTCCCCAACACGTGGCTGCCAAGGTTGGGGAGGGTGGTATGAGGGAGGCTGCTTGGAGCATCTGATGTTTCCCGGCTGAGTCCCTTCATGTCTATTGCTCCTGTGGCTCCTGTGGCTCCAAGGTCATGTGGGACAGAGGCACTCTCTCTCTGGGGGAATCCAGCTACCACATGGCAGGGGCTAGATAATAAAGAGCTGCTTGAGTGCCCCCAAGCCCCACACCCAGATTCCCACGACCATGCCTGGATCAGAGAGGGCTTCGGCCTTGGTGTCTGAAGGGGGTCTGTCCCCCTGGGTGTACGGTGTCCCCGCCCTGGCTCCCCTTCACTGTGATACAGCTAGGGAGGGGAAGGGCACCGCCAGGGCCAGACAGAGGCTGTCTTGTTACTAGGAACAGTGTAGAATCATGGGAAAAGCCTGGACACAGAAAACCACTGTGGGACTTCGAAACCTCTGCCTCCGTGTTATCCATAAAGGCAAGCGAATACTAAAGCTTATTTCATAGTGTTCTTGAGGGATCAGGTAAGTCCTGAGTCCTCAAGATATAAAGTCCTGAGAAGAGTGCCTGACACATAGGAAACAATGAATGGAGATCAGCTTCTCTTACTACCCATCTCCTCTGGGGCTGTCCCTGCTGAGTCTGTGGGGCTTGGGGTCCCAGGGTCCCAGCTACCTCCTCTTCCCTTACTTCCTTCAGAGAGCCTGGGGGTGGGGGTGGGGGGATCAAAAGCTTCTTTACTCCTCGAGGCCTTGGGAGAAAGAATCTGATAAGGCAGATCCACCTCTGCACCTCAGTTCACTCTTGTGCCCTCTCTGCCCCCGCCCCTGCCCTACCCATGCTGGCTCTAAAGTGCAGTGCCCCACAGCAGGAAGACAGTGTGGCTCCGAGTCAGACTGCTGTGTGACATGGCAGATCACTCAACCCCTCTCAGCCTCCACTGCCTCCGAAACAGTACCTACCTCCTAGGGTGGTGAGGACTGAAGGAGATCACCCTGTCTGATGCCTAACCCAGCGCCTGGCGTGCAGGAGGAGCCCCAAAAGTATAAGTTACTGTCATTCTGCCTCTGTCTTTGCTCCTGCTGTTCTCTGCCAGATATGCCCACCCTTTTCCACCTCGCACCTGGAAAAGCCTTGGGCATCTTGGAGCCTGAAGCGGATGCTTCTTCCCGCCTGGAGCCTTCCCCGGCTCCCCAGAGAAGTCGGAGGGCTTTGCTTGAGTTTACGCAGAACAGCTCCTCCCATTCAGGACTCGCCTGCAGGAGCCCAATCTGTGGACAACTCTAATGGTCTGGCTTTCCCACTGGGCAGTGGGCTCCTCCAGGGCGGGGGGCCGAGCCTGTCTCCCCCAAATCTCACACCTTCCTGGTGTGTGACCAGTGCTCAGCAAATAGTGGATGAATTAATTGAAGAAATACAGGAGTGGGCTCTCAGGGCTGACAGCCTGGGCTCAGACCCCAGCAGAGGTGGGCTAGATCACCTCCCTCGCCTGCGCCAGAGAAAGGGTAGGGGGTGCTGGTGCCATTGAAATCAGAATGTTCGGTAGACAGTGCTAAGTCCTGGGACTGGATAAGCGACTGGAAAGTGCAGCTGGGACTGACAGAGGGAAAATTCTGAGGCTGCCATCTCAGGGGCTCCAGGAACTTACCTTTCTCTTTCTTTTCTTTGAGCAAGTCCCTGTAGTTTGTTTTCTTCAGCTCATCAATGATGCCCTTGTTGGCATCGTCCAAAGCCTGTGGGTGGTAGAGGAACCGGTAAACTCTCCTAACCCCTGTTTGGCACATAGCTTCCCCTTTCACCCAAGTCCCAGCCCCAGATGGGGAAACCCGAGGTCTGCACTGCGTGGCCCCCACAGCCACGTGCAGCTAGGGAGCCCTGGAAATGTGGCTGGTGTGACTGAGAATTGGAATTTTAAATTTTATTTACTTATAATTCTTTTTCATCTAAATAGCCACCCCTGGCCAGCGGCTGCCTTATTGAGCAGTGCAGGGAGGGAGGCAATCACACTGTATTTCTTGTTGTCTCCTGGAGAGGGCAGCATTTTTCAAACTGCAAGTTGTGAGCTCAATTTAGAAGGTCTCAACCAGCATTAAATAAAAGGAAATGAAAAAATAAACCAGAACAGAATAGGAAATAGCAGCATACATAAGAAAGGTAAATATGTTTACCTTTGTGAAAGGTAAAACTTTCATTTCTATTTTTTGTTTATGTCAAATAAAACTGTGTTATTGGGTTGCTATATAAACTGATGGCAGTGGCAAACGTGTGAAAGCCACTGCCCTCCCTAGAACGCGTCCTGCAGGAGGTGGGTGTAGCCAGTGTCTGTGGAATGGCCGACTGGGAAGGCTGAGGGGGCTGAAGGACCGCCTGCCCCACGCCCCACAGCCGGCCCAGCTGGGGGAAAGACTCACGCTGATGATAGCCTGCTGCGCCTCGTTGTTGTGGACGAGCTTCGCTTTCTCCAGAGCTTTCTCAAAGTTGTTCACAGCCGACTCGAAGTCTCTCAGCTTCACTGGGGAGCAAGGGGAGAGGCACAGCACAGGTAGGTGGTGACACCATGTGTTACACGAGGCAGCTGGCCTGAAGGTGCCAGGCTCCCTCAGGAGCCCCTGGCTGGCCTGGCCACTCCCAGGGCCAGTTAGAAGCCTTCATGAGCTGGAGTCAGTCCCAGGCCTTGGGCAGCATCTGGGAGCTGCCCGGTGCCACCCATTCTATTACGTTCCTGGGCTATCTCCCCATTAAGGACAGAACCTGGGAATCCGAGTCTTGGATCTCAGGCCATTCAAAGGGGTGTGTGAGGGAAGGGGGCCTGTGCACACACATCATGTGTCTGCAGGGTAGGGGGACAACTCCATTTTGCCCCATCTTTAGATTGTTCCAGGCAGAGGAAATCCATATTTTTAAAATCTTTGCTCAGGGCCGGCCGAGTGGCGCGGTGGTTAAGAACTGGCTTGGGACGCCAGAGGGCCCCGGTTCGGATCCCACATATGAGGGCCAGTGACACTGCCCTCCACAGCTAAGATGCTGAACAACAA